AAACGATACTAGGACATAAATGTTGCATATAGCTAGTTTCTAACCTTTGGTTGGTACTTGTAAGGTATTACAAGAGCCAACTTTCAAGAAAATCTACCTAAAATCTTTCTACCTCTGCTTGCGGTGCAGCAAACAAAGATAACTTTTAAGTTATGAAACCAGAACCACCTCTATGAGATAATTTTAATCCTCCATTTGATAAGCTTACCAACAAAAGGCGTGTTTAATGGTTGCTCCTTGAGTATTTTTCTGTTATTATGTAATATTATACATATATGCACCATTAAGTTTCAGATATTACCCTCCCCAAAATATGTAAGAAGTGAACCAAGATTATGCATTTGCCTATTGGTAAATGTTTGAACATCTGCATCATATCCAAGAGTAAGTTTTTCACGAGAGAAAAATTAGCCACATCACACCATGCATATAATTACATTTAGCCCGTTTGTTCGCTTCTAAAATACTATTCAGCATTCATTCATCAAGTATCAACCACCAATTTCAAAACATAAAATAAAACTCCATGCCCAAATTCAACTGCATTTTAGTTTAGAGCTGATATATCAAGTATCAACCACCAATGTCTCAAAATAAAATATAGAACTTAACGCCAAAATTCAGCTGCGTTTTAGTTTAGAGACAGTAAATCACCAAGTATCAGCCAACTTAATGCCAAAATTCAGTTGCATTTTAGTTTAGAGCCAATATATCATCAAGCCCCCACCACCAATATCAAAACTGAATATAGACTTTGATGCCAATATTCAGCTAAACTTTCAGTTTAAATCTCATGTATATATTCCAAAGAGTCATTTCATCATACACCCCTGCTGCACCCTCACAAACTCCATCTATCTAAGTCCATAACTCAACTTTTACAAGTACAGAAAAAAAAGTAAATGAATCAAAATAAATGTACATTCTCAGAAAGCAAAAAAAAACAACAAATTGACGAAAAATAGAAGGAGCGTAAGAGAAAGATGTACCCTTTTGCGCATAAGACGAAACTCACTAGACTTGAACTCGTTCCTGGCCGATCGCTGGAGGCGGAGCATGAAAAGCTCGCCTTTGAGATCCAAAATCTCTTCATTGAGCTCCTCCGTCGACTTAGCCCTGATGTCCTTCAACTCCTCCTCTCTTTTAGCCATCGTCACCACCGACATTGAGGACGAGGCCCGACCGGACGACAGTCTGGGGCGGCGCGTGTGGCGCAAATGCGCGATTCGCAAGCCATTGAACGATGATGATAGTGATGGCTTGGGGAGGTTCGATTTGGGAGGGAAAATGGCGCTCGAGATTGTGAGGCTAGTCATCCTTTGTGTTTGTTCTTCTGCGGATAAGGCTTTTTTTTCCTCCATCTTTTTCTTTCTTTTCTTATTTTTCAAGCTTATTGACTTTCTTGGTCCTCAAACTCTGGGTTTTTCCCACTTTCACCCCTTCATATCTCGACTATCCTATAATGGACTCTGATTTTAGTTGAGAATCGAGGTCAACAAATGAATTTATTCGACGTCGATCACTTTGCCATAGAGCCATCAATGATACAGTTTGTCTGTTTGTGGTGTGATTCCCAATTTTTCAATTAACTTCAAAGTTATATCAAAAACACTATAGCATAGTATAATAATTTACGCATGTTCTAGTTAAAAAAATGTGTATAAATTTAAAAAAATAAAAATTAGAAGTTATTTATTTAAAATTTAAATACTTTAAACCAATTATTACATTATTATTATTATTGTATATATTTAAAATGACACTATTAAACTTTATGCGCCTTATATTTATTTGTTTGTTTGTTTATTAATTATTTATCAGATGGTGTACTCATCGTGGAAAATGTGACAATATTGGCTCCTCTTTAAAGTTTCGTGTGAAGAGCATCGAGGAGTGCGCATAGCAAACAATGGAGAGTGCGNTCCAATTACAAATTCTCCCCCGACACATTCAATCACGAATACAGATTCGTCCACTCTTCTTCCTTCTCCCTGTGTTAATTGAAGAACTTAATTTTTTTTTAATCAAACCCTAGAATCTCAAAGCACGATCCCATTCCCAATCGCGCGCAAGGGCCCAGTTTGGTTGATACAGCACCACAGGCATACGCAGATAGATACAGGCATAGATATAGATAGATAGATAGATAGATATAGAGAGAGAGCGAGTGGAGAGACTGGATGAAGTGAGGCAAGTATGGGAGCAGCGGGTTCGAAGCTGGAGAAAGCATTGGGAGACCAATTTCCTGAAGGCGAGCGGTATTTTGGTCTGGAGAATTTCGGCAACACCTGCTACTGCAATAGCGTGCTTCAGGTTCTTTGGGTGTTGATTTGTTTAGCTGCCGTTGGTTGATAGTGTCTTGAGTTGTGGATTGATTGTTATCATCAATTTTCTTTTGTGTAATGTCAAGACGAGATTAGACTGTGTTTGTTTTTCTAAGTGCGAATTCGATTGTCGGGGTGGGGTGTATGAGTTTGTGGAAACTGGGAGCAACTATTGGGTTTGTGTGGATTAATTAACTGCTAGTGAGGGTGTAAAAGCTTGTTGATTTTTATCCGCTCATTGGTAGAAAACTAGATATGGTTGGTTTGCAGATGTTCTGCTGTTAAATTTTGGATTTTTCTGTTTGAAGAATAGCCAATTTGGTGCTTGGTTTGGTCCGTAGATGCATTGAAGTGTTTTTTTATGGTAAAGTTTATTTCTTTTGTTGTTTGACGAATGGCCAAGTTAAGAGTATATATTAGGTAGAGCTTGGTTACTGGTTAAAATTCCCTATTAAGTATTAACTGATGAAGACATGAAGTACTATGTTTATTTCGTTAGGATAAATATTCTTTTGGCTTTATTAGGTAGACCATGGAATTAATTATATTTCGATTTTTATGTGCTATATGAGCAGCATTGAGCAATGATGCTGCATTTGATTTGCTTGGATATAATTGCAATGTGTGTGAAATGTGGGTTTTATAAAACTGGGGAGACAAAATTACCCACGTAATTTCTAGATGTCAATATGGGTATTATCTTTCAGTAGTCTTTCTGTTTTGAGCTTGGCTAGATTCAAGTTATGGTTTGGTTTCCCCACAGTTGGTCACTGTGTTCTAATATATTATCCCATTCATGCACAGGCTCTTTATTTTTGTGTCCCATTTCGCGAGCAGCTACTGGAATATTATTCCAATAACAAAACTCCTGCCGATGCAGAAGAAAATCTCTTAACATGCCTAGCAGACTTGTTTTTGCAGGTAGCATCTCTTTTAGTTCGGGAAAATATGTTATCAATTGTGTGGACATATAGTTGTCCATAGATTACCCTAGTTGATGTTATATTTTCTAACTTAGATATATATTTTCTGTCATCAGTAAGGAGCTTAGAATAAATATGGGATGGCAGGCTTCGGCAGTTGATCTGATTTGCTTAAACATCTATACTTGACATAGTGATTGTCTAATTGATTGGATATCTCAATGTATTAGCGTCTACTGTTAGTCATCAAATGAGGTTTTACTGATCTATAGATTTCCTATGCTCACATCCTTCTCTTGGAATATATTGGACATGTAACAGCATTCATTAGAAGCACTATAATGTATTTGCACAGAATGTAATTAGAAGTACTATAAAGACTGCTCTCATGGTGCAGTCTATAATACACCAAGGTTTTCAGGGCTCATGTTTCCATTTAACTGCAAGTCAAAATTCGAGAAATCAGTGTGAATTAATATTTTACTGTCTTGAACATTTCCCGCTGTGTACGGGCAGTTCTCTGAGCTCATTGAAATGCACATGTTAGTTCTTGATTCACTTCACTTACTCCCCCTCCTCCCAGCACCATTTAAGATGCTCGTTTTATTACAGTGATATGAGGTGGGATCTTGAACATCCGAATTTCTGTTTGATATTGCAATAGGATATAACAGCTAATTCCAGTTACTAACTGAGATTTTAAGAAGCACCTAATGTTATCAATTTCTTCTCATATTTGTGTAAAGCGATGCATTTTGGAATATTTGAAATGTAATTATAGAAAAAAGTGAACATTAAAATTAGGGGCTTCCATGTTTGGTTTTCTTGGAATGAATAGGTTTCAATCTAGTAACCATATATTTTTTTCTCCTTGATTCTTCTCTTGCATTCCGTTGGTGCTTGTGGTTCTACACATAGGTTTATTTACTTATTTTTATCCTTTTGTGCCTGTATATATGTATTCATGAATCTATGCATGCAATAGTGCTTAATGAAGTGATATGCTTCAACTTTAATCAATGGTGAGGTGTGTTGGGTCAAAACATGCGTGCAAGTTTTGGAGTCATTTATGGCAACTTTTGTCTAAGTAGCTCACTAGCTATGCCTAATTTTACTTGTAGATAAGCTCACAAAAGAAAAAAACTGGTGTTCTTGCTCCAAAGCGCTTCGTACAGCGACTGAAGAAGCAAAACGAAATTTTTCGCAGTTACATGCACCAGGTATGGTAACAAATGTGTTCTATTTCTAAAGTTTATCTATCATAATTAAGTAGGAACGTATATATATTAGTAAGATATAGACCCCAGCAGCAATTGTTCGATGTATAGTAGAAATGCAAAGGAGCTTGCTCATCTTGCATTTTCTTTCGTCTTACTTATTAGTTCATCTATGTTGAACTTTCTTAAAAGATCACTCTTTTTCTTTCTTCTGAATCAATATGAATCTAATGTGGTAAAGTATTATGTACGTAGGATGCCCATGAATTCCTTAACTATTTGCTAAATGAACTGGTTGACATACTGGAGAAAGAGGCTCGAGCTACTAAGAGTGATCAAGAAGGTCCTCATAAGGTTGCTAATGGCCCCACAAATATATCTTCCAACAGTCCTCAAAAGGATCCCATCATCACCTGGGTGCACAAGAATTTTCAAGTAAGTTGGCCTTTGATTTTCTGGCAAGTGAAAAAGTGTTCGGGTTTATTACTTTTTTTTTATTTTTTTTATTTTGTCCCTGTTCTCTTACGAATGATCGATACTTATCCTTTTTTCAGGGCATATTGACGAATGAAACAAGGTGCTTGTGTTGCGAGACAGTGACAGCAAGGGACGAAACATTTCTCGACTTAAGCCTTGATATAGAACAGAACAGTTCAATCACGAGCTGCCTGAAAAATTTTAGCTCCACCGAAACATTAAATGCCGAAGACAAATTCTTTTGCGACAAATGCTGCAGGTTAAAAACCTCGTTTTCCATTTTACTAGGATAATAATGCCAACCTCTCAAATTCTTGCTTTCAATTTTGCAGCTTACAAGAAGCTCAAAAGAGAATGAAGATCAAAAGGCCGCCCCAAATCTTGGTCATCCATTTGAAGAGGTTCAAGTACATCGAGCAACTGGGCCGGTACAAGAAGCTATCCTACAGAGTAGTTTTCCCTCTTGAGCTGAAACTCAGCAATACAGTTGAAGATGCTGATGCTGAATATTCGTTATTTGCTGTGGTGGTTCACGTTGGAAGTGGGCCCAATCATGGCCACTACATCAGCCTCGTGAAGAGCCACAATCACTGGCTGTTCTTTGACGATGAGAATGTGGAGATGATAGACGAGTCTGCAGTCCAGACGTTTTTTGGGTCGGCCCAAGAGTTCTCCAGCAATACGGATCATGGGTATATCTTGTTCTATGAGAGGCTTGTGATAAGCTGAGGAGCCGATGG